TGTGTGTGTGTGTGTGTGTGTGTGTGTGTGTGTGTGTGGCCAGCTCAGCCCACCAGGGGGCGGGAGTGGCTGGCATATGGTGCTGGGGGATTGAACTGCGGTCCCTGTGCTTTGCTAAGCTGCTAAGCTTGTTCTAAGTAGGTGCTTTAGACCACTGAGCCATCTCACCAGCCCCAGGAATAGATTTTTAAAAGTGGTGTTTTTATACAATGGAGTATTACTAAGCTATGAAGAAAGATAAACTCAAGGCTTTTACAGGTAAATGCATGTAACTTAAGGCTATATAAGTGAAATAAACCAAACTTGCATGTATAAACATTGCATTGTCTCCCTAGTGTAAAAACCTGAAATAGAAAATAAAATCCAAAAGGTGCAATAGCTATAGTAAAAGGGAAAGAAACTGCTCAAAAGGAATGAACAACTGGGGTGAGAGAAAGGAGAAAAGAAAGAAAAAAGAAGGGAAAAACCATACATGTATATACACGGGATAGCTAAGGTGATTGCACTACTAATTTTTATTAGCCCTATGAAGGGAGCCGTTAATGCTTAGAATTTTTATTTTGACAAATTTTACATGCTTATATATGATAATCTGAGCAACTAGTTTGAAGACAACAATTTAACAACTGTTGTCAAATTCCTATCATCTTGGGTTTTTAAAAATTCTATATCATTTCTAATATCTATTTTCTATTCTCTTTAAAATAAAAATAAATTTTAAAAAATAAAAATTCTGATATGCTGTATCTTTATTCACTCATTTCAAAATACTCAGGCCCTTGGGTTATTTAGGAACCTGCTTTTTAGCTCCATGCATAGTATTTGGGGAAAAGAGTTAAAGAGCTCTTTCTGTTGTTGATTTCTAAGTGAGTGGTTTGTAAATGTCAGTTGGGTCAAGTCCTCTGATTATGTAATGTCTTTTTCTTAATGACCTTCCACTGTCAATTCATGAGGTAGGGGTATTACAAATCTCTATCTATAATTATATGTTGTCTGTTTTTTCTTCTAATTTTTTTTTCAGTTTTTGCTTCATATATTTTATTGTTTTGTGACTAGATGAATAAATATTTAGGGTTGCTAGTCTAGCTTAATGAGTCTATATCTCCTTACAGTCAGAAAATGACTTTTCAGTCTTGTAATATACTCTCTTCTGCTTTGTCTGGTACCCTCTTCAACAGTGTTTTGCTTTGTGACAAATAGTATCTTTCTAATGTCCTCTTTTTTCAAATATTTTATATTAGAAGTATATTTCTCGTAGGCACCATTATTTAGATCCCTTCTTCCCGTACACATCAATTATAGTCTCCTTTTATTTGAGAGGCTTGGACCCATTATTGTGGTAATTAATATTGTTAGGTTTCAGTCTACCATTTTTCTACACATTTTGTTTGTTCCATATGCTATTTCATTTTTCTTTTCACTTTCAGATTGAATGTATTTTATTATCCCATTTTAATAAAACCTTCTTGATTTTTTTTTTTAGCAGTAATTCTTTCTTGTTAATTTAACAGAGATTTTTAGTTTAGTATACATCCTGAACTTACCACAATCTCTGGTCATATGATTTTACACCATTCACCTCTGATGCCAGAAGCTTACAATTCATATTTTCACTTCTGCTTCTGTGGTATTGTTGTCATACATTTAATGTTTACAAATGTTAAAAATCCCACAGTATTATTTCTGCTTCAGTAGTCAATAGCTTTTTAATTAAATACACATATTAAGGGTTGACTCTGCGAGCACATGATCTGTAGCCATGTTTGACCCTGTGTGCGAGGCACCCCCCTCCCTGGTAGGGACACAGCTTCATGTTACCTTTTCTATCTGCTCCATTCCAGGAATCAGTAATGCAGAGGCACGACAGCCAGGGAAGGCTCCCAACTTTAGTGTCAACTGGACGGTAGGGGACTCCACCATTGAGGTCATCAATGCCACGACGGGCAAGGACGAGCTGGGCCGTGCGTCGCGCCTGTGTAAGCACGCATTGTACTGTCGCTGGATGCGTGTGCACGGCAAGGTACTGAGGTGCCCTCCCCGGCACTGCGCCGGCTCACCTCCCCACAGCGTGTCCATCTTCATCCCTTCTGTTCCTCCTGTGGTCTCCATCACCATTGTCATCATGTACAGCCTCCTTAAAAGATCATTTGAAAATCTCTTTGTTCCTTAAAATTGTTTTTAGTTTAAACATGGGGCCCTGGCAAGTATAAGAGCTGTCCTGATGGCAGTTTCCTCCTTCCTGACACAAAATCCAAGACCCTCTGCCCAGGTTTGCCCAGGACTATGACTGTGAACGTCCCATAACTATGACAAAGTAGGTAAGAAAAATCAACATCAAGGAGGAAAGGTCTCTTTGGGCTCATGGTTACAAAAGTTTGGTCCGTGGTCATTTTATTCTGTATCCTCCAAGCCTGTGGTGAAGCAAAGGAAGGGGGGGCCACGGTCCCAGTGTTCCCTTCAAGGACATGCCCTCAGTGACCTCATTTTCTCCCACAAGGCTCCACCTGCTCAAGTTTTCACCAGCTCCCATAACAGTTGTTTACTAAATCTTTAACAAATGGACCTTTGGTCAATACTATAACATTACTCCCTTGGCCCCCAAAGATTCACGTCAATCTCACAATGCAGAATACATTCAGTCCATGTTGAAGAGTCCCCAAAGTTTTAACTGTTACAGGATTGCTTAAAAATCCAGGGCCGGAGAGATGGCTCAGTGGAATAAGCGCTTCCCCAGCAAGTGCAAGGGCATGAGTTCAATCCCCGGTTCTGCAAAAAAAAAAAAAAAATGCTTAAAAATCCAAGTTGAATCTCCTCTGAGATTGTGAGTCAATCTCACTCTGAGCTGTGAGTGCCTATGAAAATCAAAAAGTTACATACTTGTAGCACACAGTAGTGGGACAGGCACAAGGAAAACACTCCCAACTTCAAAAAGGAAGATTGGGTGCATGGAAAAGAAAGATCAGACTGTAGCAAGACTGGAGCTTTACAGGGCAAACATGAACTCTTTTAGTTTCAGGAGCAGAAGTGGGGGCAAGTGGTAGTGATATTATGGCCTAGCTATATCCCACATGGCCTGTCTCTTGAGCCAGCTCTGCTTGCTGCCCTCAGCATCCCTTGGCAGATTTCCTATGTGCCTGGCATCTCCCTTTCCTGAGGTCTCCACTAGAACTTGAGGTTCACTCTTACAGCTACACTCATTGTCCAGGGTTGCCACAAGGCTCTGTCTAACACTACCACAGACTACCTAGCCTCCCAGGACTTCTTCTGAGCTGAAATTAAAAGCCTCCATGACCTGTAGCCCACGTTCTGCATGCCTGTAGAACCTGTACCAAGCGGCAACATCATAGTCTGCCACCAGTTTGAGCAATAGCCAGGCCCACTTGGATCATGCCAAGGTGGGCTCTGGGTTTCAGGTTGGTCAAACTTGGGGAAATGAAATCCTGGAGAATTAGTTCTCCAGGTCATCAGGTATAAGCAAGTACTGTGGGGCTCTCTTCTCAAACACAAATCTTTGAGTCTGTGATGTGTAGGGTTTGTCAGTTCCTAAAATACCGTGAAGACATCTTTCCTGTTCTCCCAGAGCAATAGCAAAGTATTTGGCTTTTTAAAAATTTTTAATAATTTTTTAATAATTTGTACAGGGGTTTGAACTAGGGCCTTTTACATGCTAAGTAAGTGTTCTGCCACTAAGCTACATCCCCAGCCCTTTTCAAATATTTGTTTTCGAGACCACATCTCACTAAGTTGCCCAGGCTGACTTCAAACTTATGATCCTCAGTAGCTAGTCCTATAGAGTATGCTACGGTGCCCAGAACTTGCCCTTTTTTAAATACTATTTACTCTCTAGCAACTGTACCCATCTCAGCTGTACCTTTGAACAAATTGCTTTTCTGCCGAAACTGCAAATTTTTCTGCTCTTGCTTTTTCCTCCTGATTCTCACTGCAAATCTAGATAAAAGTAGTCAGTAGTAGCCAGACCACAGCCTGAGCATTGTGCTGCCGTGAACTGTTCTCTATCCAATAGACTAATCTGTCACCTGTAAACCTGGCCTCCCACAGAGTCTCAGGGCATGGGAAAAAACCTAGACAACTTCTTTGCCAAAGCATAACATCAATGACCTATGGTGCAATTCGCAGCTGAGTTCTCATTTCCATCTGAGTTGTCAGCACATCGTTTGCTGTCTGCATTTCTGTCAGTCTTCTCCTGAGGCAGGACCAGAATCACCCACTAAGCTTAACATCAAGTTTTCTCTCACCTGCTTCTCCACCCTTTCCCAGATTTTCTTACAGACCAATCCAGAGGGTTCTGAACATGGTGTCAGGTACAGTCTCAGCAACAACCCCCACTGCTCAGCATGAATTTCAGAGTCCTTCAGCTTTCTATCGGTGTAACAGCACCTAGAAGGAGGGGGTTGATTTGAGCTCCATCGCAGAGGTTTCAGACCATGGCTGCCTCATCCTGTGGCTCTGAGCCTGTGGTGAGGCAGGCACCAGAACAGGAAGCATGTGAGCAGAGATGCTCTCTTTTATGTTAGGTAAGGAGCTAGCACAAGAGAGGAAGGGGCCAGGGTCTTGGCATCCCCTCAAGGCACACACCTCCCATAGGCCCTACCTCCTCAAGGCCACAGTGTCCCAGTAGTGCCATCAGCTGGGAACAGAGCTTTTAACATGTTCCTCAGGGACATCCAAGAGCCAACCCAGAGCAAGGAGGGAGTTGCTGTGCCACTGGACAACGACATGAAGAAGGGACCAGATGCCCCTGGCCTTCTCAGCACAACCTTTAGGGGTCTGTTAAGCCCTGCATTCAGGGCTTTAAAACTTTGATTTTAGCTACAGACCCTCTCTTTTTCCCAAATGAAACCTCATAGAGTAAGTTGGGTTTCATTAGTTTTTTTATCATTCTTAAGTCATGGTTGCAGCCTGTACTGAGTGAGGCCAACAGGAAACACTGGTATGCAGGCTGGAGCAGGAATTGTCCTGTCCTTGCTGAGGTGGGCACATGTGCTCCATGGTATCTTTGGAGGGTTTGAATACCTGTGGCTTCCCCAGAGCCCATCCCCAGGCCCCAGGTCTGCAGCTTCACCTGCCCCTGAGCTGCTCCTAGCAGTGATGGCTGAGCTCCAGGATGGCCACCCATACTATCTTGGGGTACCATTCCCTGCGGGTGGGAGGGTGCCTTTCTGGGGTTCCCCCCCACCCACCCAGCCAGTACAGTACTAATTCCTCCTTCCAGGGGTCATCCTGGGTGTTTCCTCTGCTGCTGCCCCAGCAGCTGCACTCCTCCACTTACTGCTGTCCTTTTGCAGGTCCCCCTACACTTGCAGCGTAGCAGGATCACCAAGCCCACCACGTACCACGAGTCCAAGCTGGCAGCGCGGGAGTATCAGACCGCCAAGGCCCGCCTGTTCACTGCCTTCATCAAGGCAGGGCTGGGCGCCTGGGTGGAGAAGCCCACGGAGCAGGACCAGTTCTCACTCACGCCCTGACCCTGGCGGGACCCCGGCACTAAACCCCAAACCTCACACCTGAACTGAGCAGGTGCACTCCTGGGGGACACGTAGGGGCACAGAGTCCCAGTGTCAGCCCCGTGTCCCACACCTGAACCAGGGCAGGCACGGGGGCACTTGGGGTGCAGGGCATCTCACTCTGAACTGGGGCACAAGGAGGTGGGCCCAGCACTACTGCCCACTTTCCCCTGGCCCTACGTTCCCTGCCCTGTTACCCAGTGACTGCTTCCAACCTCAGTTTACCTTAGACATTGAGTTCTACTGAGTAGGGCTTCCTTAAGTTTAGGAAAATAGAAACTACTTTGTGTGAAATTCTTGAATAAATAATTTATTCAGAGTTAGGAATGTGGTTTATAAAATAAGTAATTATGTCAGGTCACTTTATGCCACATTATTTTAATTGCAAAATTTCTACACGGAGGAGAGTGAGAAGGTGGAGATAGGGCATGGAGCCCTTGGGATTGGCGCACATCCTTTGCAGGCCTGGCCCCACATTCTTCACCGTTAGCTGCACAGAGTAAGTTTTACTGTCCCTTGGCAATACTAGCATGCTGTCATGTGTCCCTGAGGCACATGCTGGGCCCCCATGGTAACTCTGCTGCCACAGCCCTGCTAGAGGCTTCCATGCTCTGAGGGGATCAGATCATAGAAACTCTTACTTCACTTTCAAATAATCCCGGTAAGACTCATTTATAGAGGCCCCATCCTGGCCACTTCTTTGGTGGCGTGGTCAACAGGGCTTGGCTCTGAACTTCTGTACCCCTCCTGGGGACCTGCACATGGAAGGACAATGGCCCAGGGAAGCCCAGGATGGAACTAGCATTGCCTCGTAGCCACTCATCCTTGGAGCATGCTGCAGAAAGCGTGTTCTTAAGTTACTCTATTTAGCTTTATCAAAGACATATTTGAAAACTAAAAAGCATGTAGCCTGGAGCTGGTGAGATGGTGTGATGCTGGTGAGGTGCAGTCCAGCATCAGTGTCGTGAGGTAGAGCTCAGGTGCTGCTGGCACCAGGAGGGGCCTGGGGACGCTGCTCAGCAACCCCAGAGCACAGGACGGCCCAGCAGCTGGAGCCTGGTGTGACCACCTGGGCCTGGGCCAGAGACCTGCACCAGGTGCCTTGTAGCTTCCACTCAGGGTTAGAGGAGCTGGGAAAGGTGCGTGCGCTGCTGCCATGGGCTCAGCGCCAACTGCACTCTGGGGGTCGCAGAAGGGAAATTGGGGGCCAGGAGCGGAAAGGTGCAGACCCCACCCTACAGCGTAATCACCATGGCCACCACCAGGGTGCTGATGCCCGTGCCACTGAGCTGTGCACAGATATCTGAAGACCACACAGGAGCAGCATGGGGTTCTCATGACTCCCCTGGGCCTGTGGGGGCAGCACCTCTTTGGTGGGACCCATGTGCCTCAGGGTCAAGTGCCCTGCCTGCGCATGTCAGATCTGGGGCAAGTGTGCCTGCGCACTGGCTTTCTCTGCAGTTGCTCTATAAATTGTATTTTTTGTAGTGGGGATTGGGAGATGGACTTAGTTTTTAAGAAATATGTGGATTTTGGGTTTAAAGTCCAGTGCATATGTGTTCCATATACATAAAAACAAAACCACTCAGTATGTCTGGCTGTTCCTTCTGTCGGGTCATGGCTGAAAAGTGCACAGTTGACCCACCCCCCATCCCAGAAGCAAATGTCCTTGGGTATGGGGGAGAGGGAGGAAAGTGGCCTGGGGACCAGAGGGCAGGTTGTCACCTCCTCTTGCTGCCAGGACAAGACCACAGAGACGACTCAGCTGCACTAAGAGAGTGAGAAGCAGGCCCTCCGTGAGAGCGGCCAGGATGCATCGTACGTCACATTACATCATCACTGCTCAGCTGTTCCCACATCCTGCATCTGCACATGAAAAGACTTCACAGAAAACCAGACACAGCCAGGGAGTTGACATTTTGGAGCCAGGAAAGCCCTTTAAGTACTGAGGACATCTTGTTAAGCAGAGGGGATCAGTTCTGTTAGGTCAGCGAACCCCGAGGTGTTACTTCCATGGAGACCCTCTGCCTCAGGACAGCTCAGGAACAGCTCTGCTTGGTGAAGAAGTCAGATGGGGGGTGGGTAAGGTGGCACACTCTGTAGACCTGGGCTGTCCCAGGTGGGGTTAGAGCCTAGGAATGGCAGCCTGGTGGATGTTGGCCACTGCCAGCCACCATCACCTGTACCTTGCCCAGCAAAGGATGCCAAAAGCTGCAGATTTGATTCTAAGTCTTCATCTTCCATCATCCTTTCCTGTTTGGTAAATTGTTCTGTGATTAAAAGAAATTGTTTTTAAATGTGCAAGCCCAAGTCTCGTAAGGCTCTGACTTCTCTGCATTTCCAATCACCGCTTTGTCCTCAAAGCCCAAGTTGCTTTTGCAGTAAGGCAGGCAGCCACTGTCCCCACCAGGTGGCAAGTCTGAGGAAGGGTGCACACCTCCAGGGAGAGCTGTACATTGCCCTGGCCTCTGAGCAGATGAATACAGCCAGGTGACTTCTCTCACCTCTGAGTACTTTACATCAGAAATCCCATCTCTACACTCTTAGTTTTGATCCAACAAGAGAAATAAAAGACTTGCCCATATCTAAATTTTGTGAAATTAAAAATGTCCTCTATATTATCCCCAAATTTTATTTGTGGAAAGGGCAGAGGACTTGTGTCAGGTGTATGTTGTTCCCCTGTGTCCTTGTCCCCTGACGTGTCCTGTGACAATCAGTCTCCCTGTGTGCGAGGAGGGGTTTGGGCTACTTGGTTGTCCACCCTGGAGGCCTGAAAACAGGGAAGCCCTGGCCCATGGGCATCTGCCGTGGCCATGACTCAGTTGTGAGGGTGTGTGAGTGTTTTCAGTTTGTTTAGAAGCCACCTCCTATGTGAGCAGCACCCTGCTCTTCCTTGTTTACCAGTGGGGGATGGTACAGAAGAACCAGGTTCTCTTCAGGGGAGCACAGTGGTTAAAAGCACAGTCTATGGAATGTTCATGAGGAAGCCTTAAGCTGTTTGCTGCTTCAGGCTTTGGGTTATATGCTTTTAATTTGATTTTAGAATTTGGACACTTTATATGAATGTAATTTAGCTGAGAAACTTGTTGCTAAGATACAATCCTCAGTGTTCTCCATATGTATATTTATGTATATAACACATTACAGCCTGCATGAGCTTCCTCTTACACCAAGGCCAGCCGGAGCTGAGCATGAGACGCTGTCGCACCTAGACAAAGGACTTGAGATGTTCTCAATAAAAATAAGACATTTCACTACTGAGGTGTTGCTGAGGTTTTCTTTTCTCACGTTTTTGTTTTGGGCTCCACTGACAAGTCTGGGATCAGAACCTGCTGGGCATAGTTTGGGAGGAGTGGACGGATGCCACTGAGACTACAGGTCTCCTTCCCTTCACATTGCAGTGTTTGGCATGCGCACCCAGCTTGGGACAGTCTCTTGGTCCTGCCCTGGGTTCTTGGCTTCTCTGTCTTCCAGAAAAGTACCTTGACCCCACTCATGCATAAGGCGGGGTGGAGGAAATGGTGCAGCTGCCCCTTCTCTTGTCTATGAAATGGATGATGACCACAGTCCCACGTTACTGGCTGGGGTAGGTCATGTGGTTAGGAGCACATGAATAGAAGAATGCTGAACCTCAACAAGACCATTAGATGGAATAGGGGGTTCAGGTGCTGCAGTGAAATGAATGACAAACTACAGCGTAGAACTAGAGTTTGGACTGTGTTATTGTGGAAAGACATTTATAATAAACAGTGGGAAACGTTACTAGTATTTATGCCTCATGGTCTTAGAGAAATGTGGGTGTATTATGTTTGAATATGTAGACGAGTCTGGTTGTGGTGGATGATGAGATTTAGACTGATTTTAGCCTAATTTTCTTTTTAAAAAAAAAAAAAAAACTTAGCCATCTGGATATTTCTATAAGTACATGAAAATGTAGAAAATTGTTTTTGGAAAGTCAAAAGTACCAAAGTAAAAAGCAGCACTTGTTATAGACAAAAGATTTGTTTCTCTATTCTGGAACTAAGATGAAAACTGACTCAGTTGAGAGCATGACTCAGCTGGGTGAAAGGCACTTCTCCTTGCATCTGCGTGTCCCAGGCACAAAACAGGAGGACCACAATGGTAGTCAACAACTGCTGGGTAACTGTGACTCATGAGTGTGGCTGCCTCTCAAGGCCTTCCTGCCTTCCTCCCCAGAGTCAGCTGGCTGACTCCCCCAGTTTCCTGTGTCCTGTAGGCCACTTGTTTCTTTACTCATTTCCCTTATTTCCTGTTGTGGAATTCAGTATTCCTAAATAATACTACAAACAATATGACAGGGTGGTAACTACTGGGCTAATGAATTATTAACAATGTGTACTTTTTTTTTCCCCAAAGGCTTACCAAAATCACTGAGGGAGGGGCTGCAGTATTAGTCAGTTGTAGGCTGTTAGTCTGGATGCCTCGGACCCCAGTTCTATCCCCAGCACTACAATAGACCTATTTAAAGGTTTTTGAATGATTTATTTAGTGCTTATTGCCTGAAAGCAGTAAACACATGCTTTTTTATCATTCTCTTCAGTTAGTACATAACCTGAATATTTGCCTACATGTTTCATTAAATTGTTACAAATTAATCTCATTTTCTTTTATTGTACTATAAAATGGGTCAGTTAATTATATTAGACCTACATGTTTAAAGGCCTGACTTTATTGCCTTCAATAATTTATCTTCTAAAATGTATATTATAATGTATTTCTCAATGGTTTTCTTTTTTTAATATCCCTGGGAAAGCATGCTAACATTTTGTTTCAATTGAAAAAGTAGGTCAGGCATTTTCTGATAGAAAATGTGTGTCTTATTTGGTTCACTAGTCTGCCAAGAAGGATTAGGGTACATGGAGGACATTCACTGTAAATAGAATGAACTAAATCTGCAACTTCAAGATTTCAAGGAAAATGCTTTAAAAATAATTATGTGTAAAAGTGCTTTATCAAAAAAACATTAAAGTTGTTTAAAAAGCACTAAAATTAACATTTCAGTGTACTCGACCCCCCTCAGACTAGGTAAAGATTTAACAAGGTGACAAAGAATCATGGGTAAATATTAGTCTGTTGGTAAGTGGGAAGCAGCCCCTCTGGTAAACACACCAGAGTAAGTGAGGAGTAGCCTCTGGTAAACATGCCAAAAGTGAAGAATGACAGGATAACAAATCCTCTTACAAGTCATGTACTCTGTAATCCTTCCCTTTCAAAACACTTCAATTAAACCCAAATGAGTTGACAGCTGATAAAGCGTTAAATAGTTTTTAATTTCACATCACCTTCTTGCTTAGGAGATACTATGTAGGAGCTCAAGAAGGGACATTGCAAGAATATGTCACCTTGTCTTCAGGTTCATGCAGTTTTCCAACACTTCTGTGAAACTTGAGTATAGCAGAGGCTGAACCTGTTCAATGGAGCAGGGTCATCTTGATTCCTGGACAGAGGGACACTGGTTAGAAAAGCAGCTCTACTCTTCTCATTAAGAGATATAATTCAATAACATTTGCTTTCATGTGTAACAATTATCAATTTGTCACAATCATGCTTTTAAATAATTATAGCACCATGGTGTTGGGAAAAATAATACAGTAGAAATTAACAAAGCCTTTTTGTTAATAAATGTAAAAGCTTTTTTTGTTGTAAACAAGTAGGCTAGGGTAAGCACAAAAGACATTCAGAGATAAAAGCAGATTACTCAGGTCCAGCTTCATGTCAGAAGAGTAATCAAGCTTGGGAATGACCACTTTCAATGTGCCAAGGTCCCCCCCCCCATATCTGCCAGAAGCAAAAGTGAGGGGAGCAGAATGGGCCGGCGGCCATGTTCACACAGGGTGGCAGCAACTTCCCCACTATGCACGCCACTATGTGTTCTCTTTTGAGCTGATTTAGATCCTCTAGCTTTTCTTGAGCTGGAATCAGACTCTGTCCTGGGCTTCCCTATCTCTGAGGCTCCAAGGTAATGGGCGAAAGACAGGAAGGAAGTGGACCAGGTGACCATGGTGTGGTCTGGGGAGAGAGGCCTCGGCAGGTTTGGATGGGGATCAGGGGGCCTGGGTACAGAGTGCAAGGAGCTACATACGTGGATGTGTAAATGAAAATGAGAGGGTTTGATTTTAAAATATCAATATTTAGGCAGGAAATCACATCTTCTGTTTAAAAAAAACTAATCAGAAGATTTGGTTGTAAACTCGGAATGTGTGAGGGGGTACAGGCTTTCAAAGGTCAGAGATTAAGAGCAAAACCAGAACTTGGTGGGGACTCTGCTGTGAGCACCCTCCCCATACCAGGCCTGAGACAGTACCCTCCTAGTGCTTGGGAAGGGAAGGAAAGGGCTTTTCCTCAGGTTCTTTCTGCAAAGAGATGCATCATGCCAAACCACATCTCCTGAGCAGACTTTTAGGCAATCCTGAAGCTCCCATGGTATGCTCTGAGCTAGCTGGCAGCTCACTGGGTGAGATCTGCAGAACCCTTTCAGCTGTGCTGCATCCTGAGAGGCTCCCAATGTCTTCTCAGGTCAGGGCCTCCATGCTGTATGTCCCCTGACTGTCCCTCTCCAGTGGCCTCCTTTCCATGGAAAATGCATTTCCTTTTCCCAGAGCAAACCCTGGCCCTTCTAGTGGAGGATGAGGATGCAGGAAGGCTTACAATGGAGTTGGATTTTTAAGCAAAGTCAGAAAAGGGTGACCTTCAAACTCATATTTGTTTTTCTTCTTTTGCCCAGAACTAATCAGCTTATTGTGAATGCCTGGGTGTCCCAGTGAGATAGAGAATCCATCTCAGACAGCATGTACCTTTGATAAAAGAAAAATCCATTTCATACTAGGATGTTGTTATATATTATAGAACTTCCCTCATAAAATCAACTCATGATAAGTAATCCTGTACTGTAATTTTTTTTTTAAAAATCATTGAATGGATCAAGAGAAGACATTCTCTTCCCTGGCATACATCAAATTGGTTGGTATTTAGCTTGTAGCAGAAATGCTGTTAGCTGAATACTGTCACCTGCTAAGCAGAAGGCTGCCAGCCCTGTCACTTGGTGTCTCAGTCATCTGTGGGTTGATATGCAGCAGCTTTGGGTTATGCTGTGGTCTCCTGCCTGACTCCATCACCTGCCTTCATGAATAGAGGGGAAAATAATCTTGTGAGCATTACCTATCTGTGTATTGATAGGCTAACATGTTGTGGTGGACAAGGCTGATGCCTAGTGACAAGGCAAGTGACCCAGCCACGGTTGACTAAAGGGACAAGGCTTCATGTTAAGATTCCTGTCAGTG